TGTTGATGTATTTATACTGTTGTTGTTGTTGTTGTTGATGATGATGTTGTTGTTGTTGTTGTTGTTGTTGTTGTTGTTGTTGTTGTTGTTGTTGTTGTTGGTAAGATTTGAAATAGTCATTGTTGTAGTACTGTTGCTGCTGTTTGTTGTTTTTCAATCAAGATTTTGATGGCGTTGATGATATCAAAGTGTTATTGTAACGATTTGTTGATGTAATCGGTGTCAGTCATTGTTGATTCTTCTGGTAGTTAATGGTGATGCTAGTTGTGATGTTGATTGTTTTGTTGGTGTTGTTGTTGTCGCTGTTGTTGTTAATATTAATGATTTGTTATTCCATTTTTTAATATTTCAAAAATATCTGCCTTTTTTCAATTAAAAATTATGGTTATTATTATTATTATTATTATTATTGTAATAGTTGTTGTTATTTGTTTTTGTTGTTTTTGTTGTTGTTGTTGCATGAAAATCTGATCACAAGGATTGGTGCATTTTAAAGTGAAGTTTTAATTATTAATACCTGCGTCTAGATGTGTAAGTATGTGTGTGTGCATGTGTCCGTGCGTGTGTGTGTGTGTGTGTGTGTGTGCGAATGAGTGAGTGAGTGTGTGTGTGTGTGTGCGTGCGTGTGTGTGTGTGTGCGTGTGTGTGTGCGTGCGTGCGTAAGTGTGTGTGTGTGTGTGTGTTGTTGAATCTACCAATCATGATAAAATCTACAATGAGCGACGCAACGAGTAATGCTGCATTTTCTGTGATTATATTATTTTTGTCGCTACTACTACTACTATTACTGCTTGCTGCTACTACTACTGCTGCTGCTACTGCTATTTTTTTGTTCTTACAGTGGCCGCTATTGCTACTACACTATTTCTACAACTACTACTACTACTTCTACTAGTACTACTACTACTACTACAATCTAAATGCAATAGAGTTAAATGACAATAGTATTGTTAGTTAAAATTCATATTAGAATTACTAATTAGAAGTAGCAGTAATGAAAGTATGATTAGTAATACCATTAAAGGTAATAGTAGTAATAACTGCAGCAGTAATAGTAGTAGTAGAAGTAGTAGTAGTAGCAGCAGCATTAGTAGTAGTAGTAGAAGCAACAGCAACTGTAGTAGTAGCAGCAGTGGTAGTAGTAGCAGCAGTGGTAGTAGTAGCAGCAGTGGTAGTAGTAGCAGTAGTGGTAATAGGTGTAGCAAAAGTAGTAGTAGTAGTAGTTGTTGTAGTAGTAGTTGTTGGGGTAGTAGTTGTAGTAGCAGTATCTGCAACACGTATGCTGGTTAATGTTAGGACGGTGTCGGCGGGTAGTAAAAATGACCTCACTCAGTCAATAGTGAATGATGATGATGACGATGATGATGACGACGACGACGATGATGATGATGATGGTGATGAAGAAGAAGATGATGACGACGATGGTGATGAGGGTGATGATGATGAGGAGGATGATAAGGAGGGTGATGATGATGACGATGATGATGATGATGACGGCAATGAGGTAATGATTAAATAACCAAAATAATAATAATATTATTATTATAAAGAATAACAACAATAATAATAATGAATCTGGCCAAAAACAAAGCAGATCTAAAATCTGAAGCATTAAAAATATTTACGAAAAAAAGATTTTCCTTTTTTCTCTTATCCAAAGAACAAAATATTTCAATACTTTGA